TGCGCGCGGAGGGGGGAAATGTTGCGAAAACAATCACGTATGCACAGGAGCTGCGTCTGCCTGTGGGCGCAGCGCGACGCACTACAACGCGCTGCCTTTGGCTTGGGGCGCGGCGGCGAGGCGCGCCCGCGATGTGCCGCGGTGGGAGAAAGACAAACACGACGTCCAGCAACCAATCATTTAAAAGAGTTTAGACAAGAGCTTTTAGATCGTCGCGCGTTTCAAAATTTTAGACATGTACACGCCTGACTGCCGGTCAACATTTTCCGACCGGACTGGTGTTTATGGTACCCTGATGGTTCAGTCGGCTGCGCGGCGTCCTTGCTGCGCCTCCATCCATATGATTCCGGCTCCGGTCCGTGCGAGGCAGTCAATAATTTAAGTGTTGCCACCCGTCATTACTCTGCGGGGATTATTTGGGCGGCGCGGTCGTGCGGCGTTGCGGGGCAGGGCTCGGCGGCATGACGTGGTCAGAGAGGCAAAACACAAGAGTTTGAAAAACAAGTCAATTGCACCGGGAGTGCCTACCGAGCTCGGGGGGCTGGGAGCGCCTGCGGGGGTAGGCAGCAGTGGGGCACGTGTGTACGCCGGGAGTGCCTACCGAGCTCGGGGGGCCGGGAGCGCCTGCGCAGGTAGGCAGCAGTGGGGCACGTGTGTACGCCGGGAGTGCCTACCGAGCTCGGGGGCTGGGAGCGCCTGCGGAGGTAGGCAGCGGCAGCAGTGGGGCACGCGTGTACGCCGGAGTGCCTACCGAGCTCGGGGGCTGGGAGCGCCTGCGGGGGTAGGCAGCAGTGGGGCACGCGTGCACGCCGGGAGTGCCTACCGAGCTCGGGGGCTGGGAGCGCCTGCGGGGGTAGGCAGCGGCAGCAGTGGGGCACGCGTGCACGCCGGGAGTGCCTACCGAGCTCGGGGGCTGGGAGCGCCTGCCGAGGTAGGCAGCAGTGGGGCACGCGTGCACGACGGGAGGGCCTACCCCCGCGAGCGCAGGCGTTCGTGCACAACCGCCCGGGCCGTCAGGCAAGAGTCCCCCAGGACACTTCACAGGTGAAAAGTGAAAACGTCGGCAGTCCACGGACTTTTCATTGGACTTACGCCCTTTTCACTTTTCGCCAGCGACTTCGGCCCGACCTGGGTGTGGTCATGGCGTTGCGGGGAGGCCATGGGGCTGGCGGTCCCGGAAGCCGTCTGGGGCCCCGGACCAACCCCATTCGGTGCTGGAACCGATTCTCCGTGGAGTGGGCGGGGGGCCTCTCAGCGGGCGGAGCCCCAGCTCACGCGACTGTTCGAACGACCGGCTCCCGCGGCCCTCTCCGCTGAGGGCTGTGCGGGTGCGGGCCCGGTGGCGTGTGAGAACAGGAGGTCCTCCGGCCCGGCCCGGCCCCGCCCTCGGTGGTGGGTCCCGCGGTCCCCACTCATGACATAACGCCCGCTTCACCTGCCGCACCGCGCGCCGCGCCCGTAGTGTGTGCGGAGGGGCACCGGCACCATCACCAGCGGGCAGCAGGGCTGGGCGAGGACCCGCGGGTCTCGTGCACCACCAGGGCAGGCGGAGAAACGTCAATTATTGTTGTTGTCAGAGACGAATGTGGGGAGTGCATCACTTCGGAAAGGGGTTCTCTGCTGACAAGTGATCGAATCCAACCAGGTGGTGGCCCTGCACTGTGACTGGTTGAAGTAATGTACCGCACGGATGAATATCACCCTGGAACTCTTTGGTTTGCTTGAGTTTTTACTTCCAGCTATCAGGATTTCCACCAGTGTGGTATATTTTGACTCTTTCCTGCCGGGCAGCTGTTTCGTGCCGCAACTGTCAACAGTGCTGTACTCTGGTGCTGTTCCACTTCGAAAGGGAGCTAAAACCTGAATCGCGACTTTATTTTCCTGGAGAGAGGTGCTAATCAAAGGGAACCTGCGGGCGATTGACTGATTGGTGTCGACCCGACCGTCATGTTTTATGTCCCTGACGGCCTCAGCCTGGGAAGCCTCGCCCCACTGCGAGACCCTGCTGCTCATCTTAGTGGTGCGAGGGAGAGAGAGAGGATGAGTGTGTGTGTGAGATATAGGGAGAGGGAGAGAGAGAGGGAGAGGGAGAGAGAGA